TTGACTCGGGATTGTCCCCTGTCGATGCTCCTTTGCTGGCCATGTTGATGGTGACCTTCGGGAATTCCCCGTCTTTGACCATCCTTCTTCTTCTTCGGAAACGCTTAGGCTTGGTCTCAGACGTTCCAGTGGAAATTCTGTCGAACACCGAAATTTTCCTTGGGGTTTGAGCACAGCAGCATTCTGATAGCACTGCCTTGATTATGTTGGCGCACGGGCAGCGAGACTCCATGTCCTGCACATACTTCTTTCGAGATTTTCCCATACCCCCAGCTCTATAGTACAACTCATCAGCTTGATAACTGGAGCAACCTATAGAGTGTTGGCATGTGTTCCTCGGTAAAACACCATCATCCTCAGATGAGTGTGCTTCCCTTTGGGCATGGGATGCTTTGTTAGCTTTTTCAAAAGTGGCCCGTTCAAGTTTACGTTTTTGTGAACATAAAAATTGAACGGGCTCTTGTATTTCGACTCGCAATCCGATGCGGTCGGTGATAGGTGTTTTCCCTTTCTCATCTTTCTTGGGGGGATTAATTCGACCCCCAGTTTGATTCGAAACTTGGGGACCTTTCAGCGGACCCAATCGTTCCTTGATAGGTACTTTACCTCGATTCCCTGGTAAGGGACCGAGGCGACCTTTCACAGGAACCCTGGATGTTGAAGGGTCCATTTTCATACCTGACCCGGTTGAAGGCTCTGGAGCAGGAGAAATGACATCTGGTTTGGAAAGACTTCGGGTGACAACTCCACCCATCCCTGTTGGAGGTGTTGGCTCTGATTTGGGTACCCACACCAACTTGTTTGTAGGTGGCCGTTTGACCGTCGTTTCTTTCTGCATCTCCTCTGCTTTCTTCAAGAGAGCTCGGGCATGTGGAAGCAGTGCACGGCGCTTCTTGATTCGCTCCTCGAGGGTTGAGCGATTTCTTATGACACGAACCCATTTGTTCGTTCCTGCCAGGGAGGAGGAGTTGGTTACATACCGTTGTTGTTCCAAGCGCTGTCTTGATTTGAGGTCTTCATTGTAGCGGACCCCATCCATAGGCTCTAAAGCCTTGGCCATTTGACGAGCAAGGCGTTGACGCCGCCTTTGGAGCGCCCTCTTTGATAGAGTTGGAGTAGCATCAGTAGCCATCTTCTTGGGGGAGGAGTAGCCCAGATCTGCGATCTCGACCACGTTGGGTGACGCGGAGACGCCACGTAGTGCAAGTGCAGCGATGGCTAAGGAATCTTGGGTCTTTGAGCCGAGGTTCTGGCGAACGACTCTGGAGGAGGAGGCCTTCTTGCGCCTACTTGGAGAGGCGGATCTGGAGGAGGAGGAAGAGATGTACTCTTCGAATTTCTGTTGGTCGAACTCGTACTCAACCTCTTCATTCACCCAGATCTTGAGTGCCGGTTGCGTCACGACGGCGTCGGTTGCGATGCCGTTGGCTCCCACTGTGGTCGCCAGCTTGTTTTCGGTGAAAGTCGCTGTTTTCATTGCTTTTGAATCTGTTACAACTTTAAACGTTACAACAAGAATCGATAAAAAGTCGGTCTTTTTATAAGACCTCCTTGTGCAACAAAACAAAGATTACAACTTTTCGAAAATAAACACGAGATCCCGTTTTGGTGCGGTCTCGCTTGCGTGGGTCTTTGGCCTGTGACGGGGATGTTGATATCCGTGGACCACCGGGGCAATCAAATCCGGTCCGGATAAATCGGACAGAGTTTCGTCGATCCGCGTGAGATCTAGAAACTTCTGATCCAGAAATATCGGACAGAACTTCGTCGATCCGCGTGAGATCTAGAAGTTCTAAGCGTATACCTCGGCTAAAGCGAGGTAATAGCTCTTCTTAGTATCAACGCTAAAGGCTAATACTAAGGAAAGAAGGGGGAAAGAGGGTGATGAAGGCTGATGTCGACCTCTCCTCCTTGGTTGAAGCGCTCGGTCACTCTTTGCTGCAGCAGGGCTTCGCCAAGGCTCTCCAAAAATCCCCCCTCCTCTCTCTCTAGCCTTGCTCCAAGACAAAAGAATTCCAGCCCTTTGAATGAGGACCCAAGGGGTCTATTTATAGGCTCTAGGAGGTGGTAAGGGGTCTAGGGGACCATTAGGGGGTGCGGACACCCCTTGGTGTCTCGGCCAGGCCGAGACACCCTTGGGGTGTCTCGGCCAGCCCAGACACCCCTGGGGTGTCTTGGTTTTGCCAAGACACCCCTCGGGTGTTTCGAGCTTGCCGAGACTCCCCCGGGTGCCTCAGTTCAGTCCGAGGTCCTTCCGGGTGCGTTTGCCGTTGATTCGTCGTCCGGACTCGGATTTGATTGATTCCGGATGCGTTGGATGCTTGACGAAGAGTTCGATTCGTTCTGGTGATTGGATTATCTGTAGAGTGGTCGAGGCGCGAGGGGCGTTGTCTTATTCGTGAACAGTGCCGGGCTTCCCGATTGGTCCGGGTCTTCGTGATTCCGAAGTCCTATCCGCTCATGTAACTCGTCGATTCACTTCAATCGTTCATCGACGTCAATTAGGCTCATGTGGGTCGGATGGTGATGTTCATTGTCGTTCGTTAACACTGAACCGGTTGTGGAGAACTATAGGCAATTTTTGATGCCTACAGATACCCCCTCCAAAGTGTTCCTGACTCGTTTCTTTTATAGAAGAGGCTGGAATACTTTGGATGTGATTGGTCTAGCCTTCAGTCGGCATCAGGACCTGTAGTTAGCTTCAACTCTTGGCTCCTTCGATTTTCGGTCTATTCGATGCTTTGACGAATAGCCGAGGTTCTTCCGGCGCTGCGTTTATCGCTTGGCCGTAGTCGGAGTCTCGAGTTTGCAGCTGGTGGATTGAATTTGGCTAGTGTCATTGAGTTGACTTTGAACTACCTCCTTGGAGTATTGAGGAACAGTTTATACTCTTGTACTCTTTGGAGTATTGAGGAACAGTTTATACTCTTGTACTCTTTGGAGTATTGAGGAACAGTTTATACTCTTGTACTCTTTGGAGTATTGAGGAACAGTTTATACTCTTGTACTCTTTGGAGTATTGAGGAACAGTTTATACTCTTGTACTCTTTGGAGTATTGAGGAACAGTTTATACTCTTGTACTCTTTGGAGTATTGAGGAACAGTTTATACTCTTGTACTCTTTGGAGTATTGAGGAACAGTTTATACTCTTGTACTCTTTGGAGTATTGAGGAACAGTTTATACTCTTGTACTCTTTGGAGTATTGAGGAACAGTTTATACTCTTGTACTCTTTGGAGTATTGAGGAACAGTTTATACTCTTGTACTCTTTGGAGTATTGAGGAACAGTTTATACTCTTGTACTCTTTGGAGTATTGAGGAACAGTTTATACTCTTGTACTCTTTGGAGTATTGAGGAACAGTTTATACTCTTGTACTCTTTGGAGTATTGAGGAACAGTTTATACTCTTGTACTCTTTGGAGTATTGAGGAACAGTTTATACTCTTGTACTCTTTGGAGTATTGAGGAACAGTTTATACTCTTGTACTCTTTGGAGTATTGAGGAACAGTTTATACTCTTGTACTCTTTGGAGTATTGAGGAACAGTTTATACTCTTGTACTCTTTGGAGTATTGAGGAACAGTTTATACTCTTGTACTCTTTGGAGTATTGAGGAACAGTTTATACTCTTGTACTCTTTGGAGTATTGAGGAACAGTTTATACTCTTGTACTCTTTGGAGTATTGAGGAACAG